TGCACTCAGAAAAGCGCCCATTGCTGCCTGCTACCAAGCATCCTCACATTTCAAAGGAAAAGTTCTCAATCTAACAAAGGAAGGACTAATGCCTAAAACGGGGGGAGGTCTTGATTCTGTCAACTAGGAACAGTTGCTGAAATACAAGCTGCCCTGAGCTGCACAGTAAATACAGCCAGTGCAGGCCAGAGCCAGCTTCCTCTGCATGGGCCCAATCCTGTTCCCACTAAAGTCAGTGGCAGAACTCCAAGCTGTTTAATGGGAACTGCAACAAGCTTTCTATCTACTTAATATAAATGAAGATACGCATCTCCTCTTTGACATATTTTGGGCTCAAAGCCATTGGCTGACACTTGTTTGGTTCTCTGCATGTATGTGACTCATGGGATAATATAATGCCTGATTCCCATTCTGCCAGACCTGTCTTTCTCCATGGTTAACTATTAATTTCAGAGGCAAGATGCAATACTGAAGTAAAATAGGATGCTGTTAAACTAAGAAAATTGCACTCTAATATTCAGAGTAAATGAATTGGATCCCCTTTTGTGAGGATTCCCTTCCAGTTAAAAAGCTATACTCACAGAGTCCTTAAGACACCAGCCCATCGCTCCTCCATACAGACGGAGTTTGTGGAAGTCTCTAGCAAAGTACCTGGCAGGCAAGGTAACGTAAACATGCTGGCTTTACCCTGCCAGGATGGCTTGAGGAGAAACGTGATAATGGAAATGACATAAAACAGTCTGTGTTCCAAACACTTGATTGTTTCAGACTACCAACACAGAACTGGGTAACTGGATATACAGGTGTTCAATAAAGAATAAGTATACACTGATTTTCCAGCAAAGCTGTATTCAGGATAAGGGAAAACTTTCCCTATTTGAGTGCACAGCCTAAGTTTGAGATACTAAGTAGTACCATTAAAACAAATAAACAAAGCCAAACAAAACATAACCCGAAACACTAATAATATAATATGGGCTGAAAGGAATTATCGGAGCAGACTAATTCTTCTGAAGTTTCTTGTGATATGCTTATTATTACTAAGTGCTGTCTCGGCTTTAAAATGCAGTTACCTCAGAGGTAATACAACATTTTCAGATCAGTTTCATACCACCCTTTCAATCACATATTACATTTTCAATCAGTTTCATATCACACTGAAACATGGATATTTCCATGCAAGGTGTGTGTTTGTATGTGATTTCACTTTTAGAAACACAGATTTCATTACAGGGAAACAAAGAGATACCCAGAATCAGAGATGTCAAAGTATAAAACATTATATTTTACTTAATCTGTTATACCAAGAGAGGGCAGTGGGCCTGCCTTTACCCAGTTAGACATCTGCCATTCTTTTTACCATTGACTTGGGTCTGACCCAATTCAATCAGAAAATTCCAACCAGTAAGCACAAAGCACTGTGAAGCACCTGCTTTCTCCTAAAAAGAAAAATATCTTCCACTGCTCCCTTTCAGTGTGGAAATTCATGTGAAGCACTCCGAGACCTGTGCTGATCCTCCAAACCCCTGCAGCAGGTGGATGAGGCACAAAAGCTCCTTAGAGGCAAACAGCCTGTTGCAGTGGAAAAAAGAAAATTAAATCACAGAGAAATCTTGACATTCCTCCACCACCCCCAACCTGCTGCAGGACTGTGCTACGGTTGTGAGCAATCCCTCAACTCTGTACACAGTGCTGGCAGACAACTACTCCCTTCCTCCCCAACATGTGATTACTCGCTTGGCCTCTCAGTCACTGCCCACCTGCATGTCTCACCCCTCTGTGTCCCCAGCCTCATGTCTGGGGCTGGTGAGGGGTGGAGAAGGAAAGACTGCAGAGGCACACTTGTGCGGCAGGGCAGGCAGTGGCGGGCAGCATCGCAGCACTGCTGCGTGTAAAAGGAACAGGCTCGGTGGGAAACTCAAAAAGCCACCCCGCAGTCGTGCAGACAAATGCTGCTGAGTGTACACACACCCACAGCACCCCGCCCAGCTCTGGAGCTGCTCAAGCCTTTGCCTAAGCCAGAACAGCCTTGGTGCAGGCTGTGTGCGGGTGGAGAGATGAGTGGCAATGCCACGTGCAAGGCCAGCCCCCGCCCACAGTGCTGCCGCACTTACCTGCTGCATCCAGTATGCTGGAGCAGTGCAGACTGCCTGCCATCCACTTCTGCAGCAGTGTGGACTGGCAGCTGTTTTCACATGAACATGCTGGACAAGATGATTGATTCCCAGAGGTCCCTTCCAGCTCCATCTGTCCTGCAGTATTTGGAGTAGACAGTACATAAAAATCCTTTCCATTTAATGCATGCCTGAAAAAGGCATAGCATGGGGTAGCACATGAGACTGGAGTGCTGCAGTACTGCTCACACTGACCCTGGTGTTAAAGCAAACATCCCTGAACATGCTGCAGTAAGAACTGAGCAATGGGACTTGTTGAATGCTCAGCCATGTGCTGGGGTGAGGATTCAGACTGAGAGGAAGAAACAGTGCAAAGCTGCAGCTGTGGAAGGGTGGGAGGTGGGTGCCAAATCAAAACACAGGCTGCAAAGAGCACAAAGAGGCTGCAAAGAGCACTGTGCTATCAGAACTGTTCTGTCTAGGCCTTGGCTGTGGGCCTTGACAAAGGCTCAGCCTACAGTTAGGGTTAGGATTAGGGAATGCTGCTCATTTTGGCATTGGGTTTAAGGCAAGTGTTTCTAAGCACTCTTCTGCTATCAATAATTTACCCTTTGTAGTATTCCGGGGCATGCTGTGTTTATACAACTATTGAAACACCTTTGTGGCAGATAGGTGATCTTAATTTTGAATCACAGAATCCTTGATTCTTCTGCCACCAAAGACCTGTTTAATCCACGTTCATTTAAATTAATGGAAAAATCTGCTTTGTCCAAGGCCATAAATGATTTGCTGAAACCACACATACACGGTGAGTCATAGTTCAGAACATAACTCAAAACGACCAGGACTGTATTCCCATGCTCTAACCACTAGATTACAGTCCCTCCCACATATACCCTGCAATAATCTTTGCTCAAATGATAACAGCATTTCCCCACTTTACACGTTGGACAGCATTACTCAGTAAGGCACATCATACCCAAAGGGAGTAGAGCTCTGCAGGGCCAGGGGAGGAAGGAAGCAGAAGTAAAAGTCATTATTTTTGCCCAATACCACTGGAACTTAACTATTCCTGTGGAAAACTGCCAGAAATTTACACCTAAATGAAAAATAAAAGATTTTCATCCTGCTCCGCACATATCTTTTGACACCCGGACCAGCGAGTGCTCGCAGACCATCATGGTGGACTGCGGAGGGGCAGCCTTACCTTTCCTGCGCTCGGCACACCGGCATGAGCCCTTCGTCCAGAGGAGGCAGAGCCCCTCGGCACCCTCAGAGCCTCCCCCCATCGATGCAGTGCCTGTGCGGCTGCCAGCGCAGCGCACGCCCGGCTGCACCCGAGGCGCTTCAGGAGTCCCTGTGAGGACACGGCCCCATGGCCCGGCATCACCGGGCGGGCGGCGGCGAAGGCCAGGGCTGCCCCTTCGGAGTGCTCACGCGCCATGGCGGCCGCGGGGCTGTGCTCAGCTCTCCCGGGAGCAGTAAGAACACAGCCGCGGCTGCAGCTGAGGGGCCCGAGCGGCTTGTCTTCACACACCTGGGGCGCAGCCGCACAGGTAGCGCCCAGACCCGCAGAGCGGAGGCCGAGAGGTGACCGCGGTGTCCCCCGTCACCTCAGGGACCCTCGCCCGCCGCCGGGCCCGCGCAGGACGGGGCCGGAACCCGCAGAGCCCCCGGGCCCCATACAGCTCCGGGCGGTGTCTCAGGGCTCGACCCGGCCGCGGCGAAACTCCCCAGGAGAGGGGACGGCCCGGGCCCCGTCTCCCCGGGAAGGATCGGGAAGCGGCAGCGCTGCCGGGCGAGTGGAGCGGGGTCTCCCCGCGCCGTGCTCCGCGGCACTGCGTGACCCCCGCGGCCAGGACCCGGGCCGCCGGGAGCGTTTCTCCGGAGCCGCAGGATGGAGGAGCCCCCGGCCCAGCGAGGGGCGGTGTGAGGACGAGCGGAGGTGGATCTGTCCGGCTGTGCATCTGTCACCGCAAGCACCAGGGAAGCTGCCGTTCCCTTAAAGACAACCGTGTGTTTATTGCTGGGGGGGGGGACGAAGAGAGAGAGATGCGCTCCAAAAAAGTCACTGCTGCTGGGCACGGAGAAGGGGATCTGGAGGAAGAGGGGGGCATCATGCTCCTGCTGCAGAGGAAGAACTGGAAACACACTGAGAGGCAGGTGGTTATGGTAGAATATATGCTGTTTATTTATGAACATAACCAGGACTTCTGACACACTTTATATGCAGCTCCCCCCCCCCCCCCCCCAAATTAAAAAAAAACAACAAAACACCAATGTGTGTGCATATACATACATACCCATACACACACCACACACACCCCCCCAGCACTGCGCTTCTGCTGTCACACTTAGGAACAGCTTCACATCCCCATCGTGGTCTCTTCTCCCATCACAACTATTTCAACCGGACAAACTCCTGTGCAGCAATGACAGGAAGAATAATTCTGCATTGCTGCCAGCGCTCCCACGAAAGGGGCCTGTTGGTTTGTTTGTCTTTCTCTCGCACTGGGAGAAACTCCAGAGTCCAAAGGTGCTGCAGCACCAGCGACAAGCCTCCTGGCCCCATTGTAGCCTCACGGCCTGCATCCCCCTAGGCACCCTGCCTTGGGGCCAGGAGGCAGCCGCCAGCCCAGGAAGGCGGCACACACTCACACTCACCCTCCCACACAAATAATAAAATAACATTGCAGCACAAGGGCATAGTCTCTGTCACCAGATAAGAAAGTCGTGTGATGGCAAAGATCTAAGTAATGCAATAAAAATAAAGTGTAGCTAGTATACACAGAAAGGCTTTCACATTACATGAGGCACAGCTTGGACAGACAGAGACTCAGAAAGGAGCTAAATGTCATGGAATAAAGCAAAATACACTTAAAAGTCCATAGTAAATACCCGCATCAATAGGTATTTATTCTTTGTGCTTCGCCACGTCGTGACATACAGTACAAGACACTCCTGCTCTTCCTTTCGATGGCAGGAGCCCAGCAGGCTGCTGCTGCATCAGTCCCAGGCCATCCATCAGTCCTGCAGCGGTGGTGGCCCCTGTCCCACTTCCAGCCAAGGCAGGGGACAGGGCTCAGTTGAAGCAGCCCGGCCAGGCTGGGGCAGTCCTGACAGTGCTCCTGCAGCTGCCCCACACCTCAGTGCTCCAAACGGGCATGCAGCGCTGAAGGTCTCTCAGCCCTCTTCTCGCTGGCCTCCCCACAGCCACCCCTGCCTGCTGCACTGCAGGCTAGCTCAGGGCACCCCACAAGCATCCCCAGGTGCCCTGTTCCTCAAGCCTGCATGTCCCTCACCCTTTTTCCTCGCACGCCGCCAGGCCGGTGGGGAATAGAAAGCCCCAAAGCTCCTGCAGCTAGCTTTTAAGGCACATCTGGATTCCTATGCGTGCTTTATTACTACTATTATGATTTACCCTGTAGACACGTGGGCTTCTTAATTCTTTCCTTCCCCTCCTCATTCTCCTTAGAAAACCCACCATGTTTTCAGCTTATTCATGTGTCATCCTTTAAGGCACAAACCTTTTAATACTACAGCTGCCTGGCTTCTCGTATTAGCTGTTAATTGTTAAAAAAAAACCCAAACACCAAACAAAACAAACCCAAAACAAAACAAAATCAGCCCTCCCCCCCCTCCCCTCAAGAAAATAATCTGAGATCGCTGCGCTCTGCTATGTATAGTATCTATAGGTGACTGAGGGCAGCGAGGGTCCCGGCGCTAGGCGCAGCTGCCCATGGCCTTCACCAGCGAGCTCTCGGGCAGCTGCCTGAAGATGCCCCGCAGAGTCTCCAGCTCCCGGGTGAGCTGCTCCACCCGCTTGCGCAGCCGCTCGTTGTCGGTGGTGAGCTCCAGCACCTTCTGCTGCGTCTCCACGTTGCGCTGCTTGGCCTTGTCGCGGCTCTTGCGCACCGCGATGTTGTTGCGCTCCCGGCGCACCCGGTACTCGTTGCTGTTCTTGTCCACTGTCTTTTTCGATTTGCTCCGGTGGTCCGCGGGCATCATCTTGAGGGCGCCGGCGGCAGGCAGGCCGCCGGGGGGGTGCGGGTGGTGCGGGTGGTGCGGGCTCGGCACGGGCGTGGGGGGCGGCGTGGGGTGCCCGGGCTGGAGGTGCATGGTGGTCTGAGCGCAGTGAGCTATCTGGTACTGCAGGTGGGACGGGTGCTGCTGCGGAGCGTGGTGGGGGTACAGGGCCGACAGGGCCGACGACTTGACCTCCTCTTCCTCGCGGGGCTCCTGCTTAATCACCAGCGGCCGCAAGCCGGGCGCGGCGATGCGCTCGTACAGGGGGTCGAGCTTGCCGTCCATGTAGCCGGCCACGCAGCCGAAGAGAGGCTGCTGGTGGTGCTGCTGCTGGTGCCCCGGCGCCGAGGAGGCGGCGCCGGCCCCATGCATGCTGTGGAAGTCGAAATCCCCGGCCAGGATGGCCTTGGCTTTCTCCTGCTGCTTGCTGTGCTGGAAGAGGTCGGCAAGGAACTCGTCGTTGAAGGCGGCGGGGTCGATGTAGGCGCTGATGTCGATGGAGTTCTCGTTCTCGCAGATGTCTCCGAGCTCCGCTCCGCCCGCAGCAGGTGCCGCCGCCGAGGGAGCCTCTCTGTAGCTGTAGGCGCTGCCGGGCAGGGGAGTCTGGAGCTGGTGGTGCTGGCCGCTGCTCATCGGGGGCCGGGAATCGACCTCGTAGAAGTTGGCTTGCTCCATGAAGCACCTACAATCTGCTGGGCATGGTGAAGGGCTCCTGCAATCCAGGTTTCGGACGGGGCGGCGGCAGCGGCGGCAACGGCGGCGGTTCTACCAACCCCGCGGCACCCCAGCGGCGAAAGGCACCGCGCTGCACGGTGCGTTCGTGCGGCGAACGGCACCGCTCTTGCCCAGCCCGGCGCTGCTCGGTACGGCGTGCCTGGAGCCCGTTTCCCGCCCCAGCCCGCCAGAGCCTTGCTGGCTTGCCTGCCCGCCTGCCCTGTTGCTAGTGGGTTGTCGCGGTCCTGCGTGCCGTATATATACACGCCCGCAGCAGGACCAGGGATCGCCCTCTAGTGTCCTGCTGGGAACCTCCTGCTGGGAACCTTTGACCACCGCGCTGCCGGGTCTTAGCGCCGCGGTCGGGCAGAGCCGCCCTCTGAGGAGAGCGGAGAGAGCCGCCCGCACCCCCGCTCCCTCCCCCGCTCTCCGCCGCCCCGAGCTTGGCGGTCGCTGCGCGCTGGGCTCCGCCTGCCGAGGAGGCTCCGCGCTGATAAGAGGCCCCGGGAAGCGTCGCGGGGACTTTGCGCCCTCCCTGCCCGGGTCCTCTCGGCGGGGCAGAGGGGCCGACGCCGCCGGGTACATTTCCACCGCCCGCCCCAGCGGCTCCCCCCCGCGCCGCGGAGGAAGTCTCGAAGTTCACCATCACCCGGCGGTCTTGCAAATACTTGGCCAGGCGGGAATTCTCTCCCCGCCGTGCTCCCCTGCGGGACCCCAGGCACCGTTCACCGGCGGCCGGCACCGCCGGCCCGGCTTCACCGGCGGGACCAGCGGGACTCGCCCGGTGACGACCCCGGCGGCGCTAGGACTCGTCCGGGGATAGCGCCCAGCGGGCCGGGGCGGAGGCCTCGGGGGGCAGCGGGGGCTCCCCAGCGCCGCTCCGCCCGGGGGAATCGTCCTCTCTGCGCCCGTTGTCGGGCGGCCGAGCCCGCAGGAGCTGCCATCCCCGGCCACCTGCAGGCCAGCGGCACCGGTGCCTCCGACAGCCCCGTGTCTCTGGCCGCACGCAGGAGGGGTCGGGTGAAGGCGCGGAGCTCCCGCTCCTCCCGCCGCACGAACCCCGCAGGTAACCCTAACTACAGCTGTCCCCAAAGGCACGGGCAGCCGAGTCCCGTGGTGCGCTGCGCCCACCGACCCCCGCCAGCGTTTACCCGAGATAAAGCTGGCCCGGCAGCTGCGACACCCCCAGCGCGACAGCAGCCGCCACCGAGATGCGGCTCACCTTCCCAGGCTCCTTTTCCTGGCGGCTTCGGAGGAGGCGATCGGTTCACTCCTCTCCCGGGGCACCCCGGTGTAAAGCCGCGGCCTTGCTTGGAGCCCCCGTGTCAGCTTCAGCTCGGAGGGGTGAGGATGCGCCTGATGTCCCCCCGCTGTGGTCCCTCGCAGTGTGCAGAGCAGATGTAGCTGTCCCCCTTCACTCATCCCCTCCGCGGGCATTCAGCTCTGCTACTCCAGAAGGTCCCTTTGAAAAGGGTGTAGAAAAAGGACAAGTCGAGGCCGTTGGAGCAGGTGCAGGTATTAGATTGCTACAGGAAGATTTGCAGAGAAAGCGATTCAAACATAGTGGTGGCTGGAGAAAAAGATAGTGAAAATTGCTGCAATTCTCATTTATAGATGTAGTAAAACAGAATCTTGGAACAGTAAATTCCTTGCTCAGAAAAGGTTTGACAGATTCCTTGCAATTAAAAATAATTGACAAACTCTAAAATAGGAAACAAAATTACAACATACCAGGAGCCCCGTTTTTGTATCACATAATGCACACAGGAACCTGTTTCATGAGCAAAAGCGAGACCGGGGGGGGGGGGGGTGTCAGTTCAGTTGGCTTTTGCACTCTTAGTGTTCTCTCAGGAGACTGGATTCTGTGATTACAGCAGGAAAAAATTGACAGGGTACAGAATATACTTTTCACCTTTTGATACCAACAGAAAAATAAAAATCAATCCTAAATTCTTTCTATACACAGTATCTACAAAAAAAATATGTGTTGGCTTCACTGCAGCAACAGTGCTGCACAAGGTGCCATCCCAGGAGCTGCAGCACTGTCTGGGCAACCCAAACACTAGGAAGAAGAACTCTGAGCAAAGTCATGATATGGAGGAAAAAGCCTCAAGTCTGTGACAGGAGTGAGTTCGGGGTGTTTCAGAGTGGAGAGTAAAGTGTCACTGACTACACCTGACTGTCCAAATTCTGATTGCTCTACTCAAGTGAACCCAGAAAAGGGGCAAACCCAGAGCTGGACTTTTTGCCTACTGGGAGGAATATCACCTGGAGTAGGAGCTGGTAAGCAGTTTATACTGGGAGCTTTCAGAAGGCCTTATCCAGCTCTCAAGTCAGCAGAACCAGGAACAGACTGCGGACATTTAAAATAAAAGGTCAGTGCTCCATGAAGCAGCAGAAGCGTATAACTAAGTTTGTCATTTAATAACGATACCTACGCCTCTGTAGTCTTAAAACGCTCTCCCATTTTACAATCATTCTGAAATTAAGGCCTAACCACATATTAAAAGAAATTCAAAGTAAATCAGAAAGTTTAGGATCAGATTCCATTCCTAATTACTGTAATTAAAGAACAAGTCCCCACAATTTAAGGACTGGTTTGCTTGGTATCTTTTTCTTTTTACATAGACCCCTTTAATCTAAATTAAGAACTTTTAAATAATCTCTTTTTACATGAAAACATAAATTCCTGTTCAAATTGTGTAAAATGAGGCTCCCAGACTTGGACAAATAAGACAATTCTTCATCTTTTTATTGTCCCTCCTTCTTTAAAGGCAAGTAAAATGTTTAGAACCTGATCATACCCCAGACAAGCTCAGATGAATATTTCACATTCAGTAACTGGTCCCAAATATTTCAACTTTAATGAAAAGAGAAAACTTCTGTTCTAATTGCTTCAGTTCCTTGTGTCAGGGAGTTAATATAACTAAAAGAGGAAGGATGTGTGTTGCATACTATGGATCCCTGAAGCAACAATGTCAACTCTTGAGGGTGCTATTCTTCCATCTCAAAGCAGATCTCGCTGCCTGGGTGCTAGGGAAGGGCAAAAGAAGTGCTCCACAATTCAAAACAGCACCAGAAGTCATTTATACAAAGTCGGCAGCCGTGGTTTCTGCTAGTAGGGAAGGAAACTGAACAGAAAAACGTAATAATGGAGGAATGTGAATATCCATCTGCTTTATGTAAGTGAATTTTGTGACTGCTGAGAGTTTCTAATTGCACCGAAGTCTCTTCATTTCAGCTGAACTTGGCTCCTGTGCTGTTCTCAGGCTTCTGACTCCCCTGGGCTGCAAAACAGGTTACCTGGCTACAGGATCCAGGCTGGTTTTATAGGCTGCGTGGGCAGTAAAGCCCTCTGCTTTCTGATCCAACAGCTCGGAAGTATCGGCAGAACATGGCATGTGGCAGCCCCGTTAAGAATCAGAGTGCTATTACACATTTATTTTACTACCTTGTTAAATGAGAATATTTCATTGCTACTGACAAAACTCCAGAATGCCCCATCTGCATGCAAAACTTCTTGGGGTGAATGCCAGCATGGCCCAACCTCTCCTCTCTCCCACCTGTGGAACGGGTGTGGAGGAAAGGAGGCAGGGCAGGGATGGGCACTGTGAAGAAGGATAGTGCTGCTGTCCTGGCAGTGATAAAGGGATGTTATCCTCAGCTGGGCGTAGTGCTGTGCCACGAGTGCACCTGAGGAGTAGGCAGGGATGGAGCAGCTGTAGTTTTCTACGTGCATAAAGAGCTGGCAATCTACCATCTTCCTTGTTGTGGTGTAATGAAACACAAACTTCTCCCCTCTCCTCTGTTTTCTGCCCCAGGGAGGGGAAATGTGATACTGCACATAAAAGCTGCCACACATTACAGTTTTCAAAGGAAAAAGCTTTATGTGCAAAGCCTTGGAGGCCAGTAGATCAGTATGCAGCATGGTGTGGCAAGCCAGCCAGGACCTTCCCTTCAGCTGGGAAAGGCAGCTCTCAACTGATTACCATTTTTTTATGTGTAGTTTGGTCCAACAATAGATGATTTAATTACTTATCATTACAGCTTTTTCTGTTGGAGAACCACTGTTACATCTCCAACGTGAACTAACTCAGATCCATGGTATCTTCCTCTTCCCTCTTAACATCATTCTTCTTGTCTTCAGGGTCTCTATAACCATGTCCTCAAACCTGGCTGTCCTTGTGTTCTATTGGCTCTTCTCCTGAGAGCACAGTCCTTTGCCATTGCCAAACTAGCTGACTGGGACAATCTTTTCACTTCCATATGCCTGCTTACTGCTCACCTCCATTCGAATGGTGCACATAACCCAATCTGTTTCCAGCTTGTCACCTATAATCATGTGCAATCAGTCTGTGAAATTGTAGGTGGTTTATCTGCTCACAATTTTTGCATGGTTAATGAGCCATTACATACATAGTACCTGTATTATAGTTAGCACCATATTTCACTGCTCATGTTCATGGTGCCCAGAATTTTCTAAATGCTTTTCAGATACAGGATTAAGTTCTGTTCCAAAGAACATACAGTTGAAATACCACAAAAAAACCCCAAAAGAATGTGATAGTATTGCACCTATATCACCTCCCACCATACACTGTTTTCTTCTCCAGTATTAGGCCATCATCTTTGTCTCAAGACTTCCCCAAATAATGTTTACAGTCCTCCTACTGGTATGCAACAGTTATCCCTTTGCTCACTATTTGGACTATCCATAAATCATCCATTCACTCTCTTGTATTTTACTTCAGACTGAACAATAACCTCCTTTTACACTTAAATTTCCTTTCTAATCTTCTGTCTACCTTACAAACTTCAGTGGTTTCTGTCATCATGAATAGCTCACAATCTTTAATTCATTTATGGTTACATCTCCCTGGGAAGTGGAACAATGTTGTTACTCTCTGTTTCACAGCAAGAGGGCTAGCAGATGGAATAACTTGCCAAGGCCACATAAGAAATAAGCAGCAAAGCTGAGAATTTAATCTCTCCTATGTCTTGAGCTAATATCACAACCAATGAGCATGCAAAAGTTTGACTACTGCTTCCCTACAAATGAAACACTTAATTTTTCATACACTTCCTTATTTTTTTTTATGGAAAAGTTATTTTTTATCTTGAAATAAATTTATTTCTGAAATGAACTGACACAAAATTGTCATTATTTTGTTTTTTATTTTTGCCATTGTATCTTTGAGGGAATATATAGGAAATAAACCTTATTTTTTAAAAGGCCCTAGCCCTAGTCTATTGAATTGAAGACTCGCATTGATCTGAGGAGGAACTGATACAGACCCTTAGTTGGCATACAAATTATGCAGCAGAATAGCAATAGGGTAGCTATCATACTCCAAACTCAGTTCC